TCTTTACCTTTTCAAGAAAGATTAACAGACAAATATCATCAATGACATTCAACAGTTCCAAATTAATTCCTAAAACCAGACAAGGAAACTATCTGTGAACAGCTGATGAAGATCAATTCCAAAACAAGACGGGGCGACTATCTTTATCACCATTGGTATGAACTCCCAAAACGAGCCGAGTTCACCAACAACTTATTCTAGATTAATTCTTGAAACCAGACAGGGAAACTATCTCAACAATCAACACAAGCAAGTTCTAGATTGATTCCTGAAACAAGACAGGGCAACTATATGAAGTAACATCTCATCAATCACTATGAAGCATGGACCCGGCCAGATAACAGTTAACATCATTGTTGAAGCCTAGAATCCAACTGGATAACAGTCAACTTACAATTCAAGACACTGTGAAAACTGGACTCGACCAGTTGACATTATAATCTACAACATTGTGAAGCCTAGACCCGACCAGATAGTAGTTAACATCATTGTTGAAGCCCGGAATCCAGCCAGATAACAATTCAACTCTATCAATTACTATGAAGCCTAGACCCGACCAGATGACAATATACCTTAAATTCAAGTTGAAGCCTGGATCTGACCAAATAACAACTTAATTTCTTCAAATCGCTGAAGCCTGGACCCGACCAAATAACAGTTCAAGTAACTGAAGCTTGGACCCGACCAGATAACAACTTAATTCCTTCAAATCACTTAAACCTGGATCCGACCAGATAACAATTAATTTCATGTTCCCTAGTAAGTCGCAGTAAAGCCTGGAATACGACTAGATAACAGTCAACTTCATTATCCTCAGTAAGTTATTGTAAAGCCTGGATTTCGACCAGATAATAAGTAACTTTCATTTCCCCAGTCAAGAGATAACTCCCCAATAGAGTAATGGACAACTAAAGCTCCTAGACTCTATCCCCAAACAAAAACCAACATTCCCCAATGAATTCTTCCTCAAACAACAGGAACAAGAATCCCCATAAAGAGACCTCTTATGAAGTCAGCATCTACTTTGGGTGGCATTTATAAGCCCATCTCTAACAACTCTCCGTCATCTTCTTCAAATGGCATTCGTAAGCCCATTCCCGACATCATCAACCAACGGTGTTACTTCATGTGAGTGCAAATTTCTGGGCATGTTAGTGTTCAATCATCTTCCACCTTCAGATTATGAAAGGCAGACAACCCAATCTAAATCCTCAGGTTTATGAAGATTGAACAGGGGCAGCTGTTGTACCCCAAAATTTTCCCTCCCATTTTTACTCAAGACATGCTCATTGAGGTCCTCAATTGCTCAAGGTTGACCAAGAATTGATCAGACAAATTCTCCTCCTAGGCAATGAACCTTCAATTAGGGTTTTACTTTTCACAGAATTTTGAGTTGCAAAGATCTCAAATGATTTCCATGGTCCCTAATATGTCTTCAAGATTGTCCATGCCAAATTTCATGCCTTGCACTACAAGCTTGCTCAGTCAATTGCTCAAGTGTTTGAAAATCAACTATACTAGGTCAAAAGTCAACTGTGGTCAATATACAGTCAAACTTCAAGATTGTTTGTCAACATCAACATTTTGAAGTAATATCCATAATTTGATCAAGTTTTTATCATGATTCCTCAAGGAATGTTCTTTATTTCCCAAAAGTCAAGAATTGCTAAAATAGGGTTTTAATAGGAAAAGTCAACTGAACTTTGACCAAGCATAACTTTCACATAATTCATCCTTTTTGCCCCAAACAAAGCTCATTTTGAAGAGAATTCAATTACCTATAACTTCTCATTTTCCCTTAAATTCAAGAAATGCATCATTTGGAAGATACAAGCTCATACATTACATGTCACTTTCAAGAAGTCAACAAAAGACACTTTTGCCAAGACCGTTTACTTCAAGATAAACTCTCCAGATGCAAAAATGGTTAAAATACAGATTGTAGAGGACATCTCGGGCTTTTCAAAAAGTCTAAGATCATCTTTAAAAGGTGAAAATTGAGCAAATCATGGCTTTCACAAATTGAGCAATTTTCAAGAAATACATGAAGTCAACTTTGGGAAAATTCATTTTTTTAAGTTAGTGGGCCTAACTTTTAGGGCCTAAACGTGTTTGTGATGTATCTAAGGACCTCTAAACATGTCCATGCATTATTTTGTCTTTTTTTATTTGTTTTGATTTTATTCAAATAAATTCAAAAATAAATTAAATAAATACTAAATAAATGCTAGAAATATGTAAGACATAAAAGATCCAAATCTTTTTGAAGCCAAAAAGCTCAGGGAAAGATGTCAAAATCGTGTGGAGTAAGAAGGGAAGTGGATATTTTATTTTGGAAAGATTTGAATCAAAATCTTCATACTTTAAAACATCATTGATCAACTTGATCTCCTACTCTTTTTGTTACCCTAATCTGGTCTCATATATATATATACACATCAACCCTAGACCAATGGGACAGGAAGCTGCCTCCAAGAAGCCCTAGAAAATTTCCAAAAATTCAAAGAAAAGGTGAAAATCGTATCACCCCAATCCAGCCTCCCTCAATCCATTCTAGGTCCTCCATCAGCATCCCAAGACTCTCAGTAGCTTATTCTCATCCATATCTACGCATGAAGTGCCCTGAAATTAGCCAACTGAATCTCCCTACTTTGGTAAAATTTTATGATTTGAATCTCTCAATACACGCAGTTTAAACAAATTCAATGCACATATTCATGTTTATATCATTATCTTGATTCGTTCTAACGTATTGCATGAGAGATTGGATGCAGATTTAGGGATTTGCCATTGTTAGGGTTTTGAAATGGCCAAGACACGAACATGTTGATACAAGTCATCTCAGGCCAAATGGCCACAACCATTGAATTCGTAGACCCTAAATTAGGGGGGTAGTATCATTTTTGCTTTTGTTTTCATGATATTTCGCAGGATTGGTATTTTGGCCAACCGGAAGGGATGACCGGAGCCACCACCTCTGGTGGCTTGACCGGCGTGGACCATGGCATGGCAAAAAGGAATGTTTTGATTGGTTATTTCAAATGATGGGGGACCCAATACTTCGTGCGTGTTTGAAAGCTCATCATTTTGGCTTGTTTACATTATATCATTATTATTTGATGTAAATTAACGGATGTAAGGCCGTCCCAACGGTTGGGTTAGTGTGTATTAAGGCTTTTGTAAGGCTAGAGGGGATGGGTTCGATCCAGCCCTTATGCAATTTTTTTCTTCTAATGTCCTATGCAGATCACATGCTTCTAGGCTGCGCACGCTCACCATGTACCATCAGGTCATCACCATCTGATCCAGATCCAAGCACTTCAACATGCAGCCCAGGATGCACCTCCTGAAGGCCAGTAACACTGAATTCAACGCAATGTTTGGGCTTCTCCCTGATTGGGCTTTACAAATTCCAGATCTCACCCTCCCTGTTTGCTAATTCACATCAGGTCCATTTACTCTTTTTTTTTTGTTTAGTTTATTATTTATTTGTTTCCAAAAATCATTTTTTTTAATCATAGAAAAATCAGAATAAAAACATAAACTTAGATTTAGGATTTTTTTTTTGGTTAATTTAATTTTCAAAAATTTAATTTAGTTAGTTATTTTAACCATATTTCTTTAATTTAAAATCAATAGCCTTAGGATTTAATCAATTTTAATTGTTTTCTTAAATAATAAAAAATACCAATATATTAGGTTTTGTTAGAATTAATCTTAATTAATAATATTTTCTTTTATTTTAATTAATTAATTATTGTTTAACTCAAACTTTCTTTTTTTTCCAAATAAACAAAAAAACGACGAGAAATGATTTTCTTTTACTTAGAAATACTTTAGGGTTTTAGACGTTTTTTTTCAACTCGCGCGTGTTAATTATTTTAGCATTAATATTTTGTTCATATTATTGTATTTGTCTACTGGATGTAATAGCTATAATTAGGACTTTATTTTACTGTTTTATTCCCCATCTTAGACATGTAATAATCCCCCTCCCCGAAGACTTGTAATAGTTTAGGATTTATCTTTCTGCATTTTAAATTCCTGCAAACTATTAACTGTTTGATGCATGATAAATAGGATTGTATGGCAAGAGATTAATAATTAAAATGCTAGCAAACCTAACACAAGACAAATAACTGAATACAAACACAATTGCACATGCGCACCTCTAGGGTATCCCCACTTCGGTTGCCTTCGGGTAAACAATCACAACTCTCGAAACATGAGAGACTTTAGTGGTTACCCTCAGGTTTAAAGATCAAAAAATGACCCTCTCGATGTTGCCTCAGTATGATCTTAAAACCCTAGGGTAGTTACTAAGGTTTCTTTCCCAGTTTCCTTTGTGACTATACAACTTCCCTTCGAATGTCCCTCAAAACATCCAACGAATAGGGCTACCTACTCACTAATAGTAGGATAGCATTGTCTAAAGGAAAGGAGGAAAAGAACAATCCTTTCGAGTATAGTAGATAGTTCTTAGATGCTTGCTCAAAACAAAACAAACTTTTACACATACACAAAACTCTTTCCAAAAACACTTCCAAAAGACTTTGTATACGTTCTCTACTAATCCGAGAAACATTACAAAGTTCGCCGTACTAAGGCATTTTCTTTCAAAAAAAACTTTTTTCAAACACACAAAGCACACGGTATTTTTTTAAAATGAGCTAGCATCTAAGAGCCCATAGATAACTACGGATGGAAAGGGTTCTAAGACATTCCTTTTCCATAATCTACCCCCCTTACTCAAATGATCTCGAAAAATATTTTTCTGTTCTTTTCACCTTTTCCTTTGTTGGATAAAAGAAAAGTCGGTGGCAACTCTTGCTTACCGCGACATTTGGTAATACAAATGCAAAACCAGTATAACAGTCAGTTCTGCCACCGTATTACAAGGAGTCTTTGTATTTTTACTTGGGCCTCCCTTTTTGGAATTCCACTTTGGGCTTACCCTATAAAAAATGAAATCTTAGACAAGTCATTTCCAAGAAGTAACTTCATAAACCAATTCCAAGAATTGTTGGTTTCATTCTCCATAATCTCAAAAGCAATAAGAAGATACTTATCATTGCATCCCTCCCAACAACATTCAACAAAATTCCTCCATATTTAGTATTTAAGTGATGTCCATTTAATCCTATAAATGATGTATATTCCAGTTTCAATGCTTTCTTTATTCCATCAAAACACATATAACACCTTTCAAATCTTATCTTGCTATCTTTAAAAGCCCTGCATCCAATGGTTTCATTAGCAAACCTCAGTCTCACATCTACGACAACTTCATTTAACTTCATATTATTATTGTTCTTCAAATTTTCTACAATCATTCTAGCAAGACAAGTGTTCTTCACCTTTATCCACCCAATTCTTAACCCTTCATCAAGGTCTTCATCAAACTCATGCATTTTTTGTTCTTCACTGTCTTCAAAGTGTATACCATCCATAGAGTCTTCACTTGGCTCACTATCCTCAGCACTTCCCTCAACACTTTCATGTCCCTTTTGATTCTCTATTAAACCCTCCATATAAGCCTTCTCAACCATTGATAATTTAGGCTCTGTATACATTTCAACATCACAATTATTCTTCTCATCAAACAAAGCTAACAATGATGCATCCTCATCATTCCTAAATGGTTTTAGATCCTTCTCAAGACAACCCACTTTGTGTTTCCATCATATTTTCACATCATCAAGATGAAAGGTTGAGTCCATCCTCTTAATTAGGTCACATACTTCTAAGAAGGACCAAAAATCAGAGTCTTACCCACTGAATGCATAAATTTTCCCACCTTCATACCTTAATTTTGCATTCTTTACAAATGAACCCTTAGTATAAAATACCACCTTAAGTAAACACATATCTTATACATTACAAATATGAAAATGTGTAAGTTAGATATTACACTCACAGTCCACACAACAAAACCCTAGAGTTTACAGCCAACACAAGAAAAGAAATTGGGGAATCCTAGAACTAAGTGGGGCATATCAAATACATACGATATTGGATAACATAAACAATTCCTAATAGAACCGTCTTGAGGTCTTCTTCATTTAATTTGTTCATGTCGAAGGCTAATTTTGTGAGGAAGATTTTTTAAAGCGTAAAATACTTGAATTGCGGTATACAGTGGATTTACCGTTTCTCTGATTTTTGGATGCTTAAAAACTATTAACTTTTGACTAGAGTATCATATTTGAATACCTTCTAGATAATTTGAATTTTCTTTTTATCTCCTCCAACTTTCATGTTCGGCTCAAAAGAAATTTCGTTGAGGAAGATCTCCGAATGCACGAGTACTTTGAAGCTAAATAGTGGAAAAAAATGAAAATACTATGCTGAACCGTTATTTTGCAGACGTTCAAGAATTCATAAATTTCGTCTAGATTGTTGTTTTTGATATGTTTTTTGGGTGAAAAATCCATCTTGATTTTATCTTCAATTCATATGTTCGGGTTGAAGGCTGATTCTTTGTAGAAGATCCCCAGGATTATGGATTACTAGAGAAATTTACCGCATTGGACCAGAATTTTAATTCACTGTTTTCCGATATTATAAAAATCGTAACTTCTTCAATTTTTATCCTATCGAGACGGTTCTTTCGGCATAATTTCACAAATGATGTCAGCTATAAATTTTCTTCAAACCTCAAGTTCGGATTTTGATCGGAGGATTTTTGTTTAGAGCATTCTTTCAAAACTGGACGGGGAAATTAACTGAGAAAAATATGCGTTAGATAACTCAGATATGTGTCAGTGCGCCTTCAAAAATTCATGACTTTCTATTCTTTTATCCGATTGAGTCTGTTATTTTGACATCGCGTCAAAAATTTTGCAAGCTTCGATTTTCATGTTGAGCTCGAGTTGAGATTCCGCACCGATGATGACGTGACATTTTGCACTCACATTGTGCATTAAATTTGTTGACACTGACAAAACAAGGCCCAACCCAAATTCAAATTGGAGAGAGTTTATATTCAAAAAATCAAAATTTCTCTCATAACTTCACTCACTCCCCAAAACACCTCTCAATTTTCTCTCTATTCTCACAACAATATTCAACAACCTCAAGAACAAAATTCTTCAAACTTCAAATTTACTTCTCCATTTATCCTCTGATCATCCGCAAACCATCGCACCAACTTTGGACCACCACGATTGCCTCCGGTGAACCGCCAAAATCCAGCCTTTTGTCTCTGTCGAAATCGCTGGAAATCTGGCCTCTTCCTCCTCCTCATTCTGCCGCGGATTCGCGGCTTACACTCCCTCCGCCACCGTGATTTATTTTCTGGCACTGATTCCATACACCTCCTGTCCAATTCACTTCAATTTCGGTAATCCACATCTCCTTTGATTTAATCTTTTCATCTGAATTGATTATGTGTTCATAAATTGAATTTTGATTGTGATTAATTGAGATGTAATTGAATTTTTGAACATGTTAATGTTGTTGAAGTTACGAGTTAACAAATATTCTTGAGAAAGCATGAGTTGAATTTCTTGAAGATTACATGTTTGATAAAATGCTTGAACTATAGTTGATTGAATTTTGAGCATAATTTCATGAGTTGAGTTATTGTGTGAGTTCAATTCTTTAATTATTGAATATATTTGAACCTTGAGTTGTTGAATTTTGTTGAAATATTGAAAAGAGACATAGGTTTAGCAATTACATAATTTATGTGAATTTTGTTTTCAATTCGGTAAAAATTATTGAAAATCCTAACTACCGAATTATAAGTTCACATGTCAATTATGGAATTGTTGTGGAGTTTTTATGGAGTAATCATGTGTGGATATAATTTTCAATTCATTTTTGTGAATAGACTCTCATTCTTGATTTAGAAGTTTTGGATTCGGAAATTAAATCAACACTTGATTTTGTGATTGAAATCCACTCTTTGGACATAATTTTGAGCATAGGGTTACACATTGTCAATGTTTAATGCTCGATGCACTTGGATTGGATGTTTGGACGACATTTATGCCAAGTTTTACCGCTTACGGGTCGAAATTCCGCATGTTTCTCACGTTTACGGAGTTGCTGCCCGGGATTTGGAAGTAGTACCTCTGCTTGGAATTAATTCATAGGAACCACTTTTTTGATTCAGTTGGTGCGTTTGTAGCTAACTGTGCAGTTTTGAGTCGATTTCGTTCCCATATTTTGCGCGCCTAATTTTTGGATTTAATGCTTTTTGGCATTTTTTGACATGTACTTTGAATTTAATCTTCATTTGATGCATGTTTGTGTGTTATTGTTCGTTTATGAACCTTTGTGATTGAATTTGCTTGATTCCGATACATTTTTCGAATTAATGCTTCAAAGAACCGTAGTGCTGCCCCGTTTTGTAAAACACACCCGGAATTGGTTTTGATTATTGGTTTATGCTTCATTGCATTTTCTTTGGTCATTTTAAGACATGTGTATCGAGTTGTGTTGGTTTTGGATCAATGTTTTGTGCATTTGTTTGTGTGATGTACATGCAACCTCGAATTCGTTTTTATGCTTCCATTACTTGTTGCATTTCACTTTATGCATGATAATACACCATTTTAACTTGTGATGTCGATTTTTGAGTTGCATTTGATATCCCTTTCTATTTTGCTAACCTTTCTTGTGAGATTGTGCAAGTTTTTGGAAGGCGGTTCGTCACGATGCATGTGTTCGGATTTTACCATTTGCTTGTGTAGCATGACTCAGTGCATGATATTGGCTTGAGGAGCATTGCTTGCGATTTATTTTAGCATTGTACACTGGATGACTATATTGGATATTATTTCAGATCATTTCATTTGTTGATGCTAGCTTGCTCGAAGTATCCTAGAGTATTTTTTCTTTGATTGCTTGATGTATAACAGACATTTTATCCGTTTGGTATTACTTCACAGCTTGGTTTATCTTTTAGCATTTTATTTCTTTCTAGATATCATGAGAAGTAGGATAATAAATATCGTGCGCTCGAAGTCACTGTTTAAATACCTTTAGAATGCATGCCGCACTTGTTTGCTAATTGTATTTGTTGATTGTTTAAAGACCTACCTTGAAGTAGGCGTTATGATGTGCGTTTAAATTTGTGCCCAAAGACCTCAAAGAGGCATCCCATTCCAATTACAAAATTATTAAGTCCTCAAAGAAGGAAAGCGGAATATGATGCTTTGGAATATGATGCTCTCGTTATCGAGTCGATCAGATGGAAAAGGGATCTGTAACCAATCCACCACATTTTTTCTTGAGCTCACGTCAGGTGACGTTGATGCTCCGTGCTTGTTCATATTGTCTTATATCTCTTACCTCAATTCTTGATATCTTGGTTAGGTGCTTAGTCGCCTTGGACATTCACTTACCCCACTCTATACTTCTTGCCTTGGTGACATGATACCTTAGTTAAGAGTAGCTTTCATGACCATTTCTTTCCTAGATGAGATATCTATGGTCAGGAACTTCCTCTTTTTACCTACCTCGATGATTTGATAACTTGGTTAGGACTTTTGACTTGAGCTAGTGTGTACTCATGACAAGTGTGTGCTCTCTTTAGCTTGTCAATTGCTTGCTTGTTTTCCATCCCGGTGTTCATGTTTTCTTAGGTTGTTAATCTTTGCCATGTTCCCTAAGGAGTTCTTGATTCACCCTTTGGCAGAGATTCGAGATAGACATAAGTTTAGGTTGTGAACCTTTGCAATGTTCCCTTAGGACTTCTTGATTCACCCTTTGGTGGTGATTTGAGATAGACATTAGATTGTGAACCATGAAATGCTAACTTAGTTATAGGTTTCCCTTTTATCCTTGACCTTAGGGCCATCATTGTATGATAAGATTAGGGATAGAGCTAGATAGTTTCTGTTAGTTATTTTCTTTCTTTTGCATTCTTAAAACTAAAACTTTTTCTTGGAAAATGCATAAAGCATCTAATGATTTTTCAAATCCTTTTTTCAAGGTAAAAAACACGAATCAATTCAAATTTCATTTTGCCGCTTGGCTTTTATTTTAAAACCCTTTTCAATGTAAAAAAATATAAAACAAATAGAAACATGTGAGCCTAACTACGACGCTCTGATTCCTTAAAAGGGATACATAGGCATCTAGTCGCAGGGCTCAGCCGAGCAAAACTTCGCAAATATTTCCTTATTTTACCCGTGTTTTCTTTTGCATGCATTCCCTCTTTTTTTTTTCTTTTAGCTCGTAAGATTTAGATTTGAACACACCATTTGATTAGAACAACAAGAGTGGATACCATAGAGTACTACGAGCGTGTAGGGTGCTAATACCTTTCCCTCGCGCAACAGACTCCCTTACCCAATCTCTTGGTTGTTTGACCTAGATTTCACCCTTCTCAGGTTTACTCGGTGTTTACCTTTCCATTCATGTAAGATAAAAAATGTTTGATGGAGACTTCATTGATTTCATCTCAATGATTTGTTCAGTCGGTTGTTTCAGCTGGCGACTTCACTGGGGACAGGTCGACCAAATTTTTGTCCATCCTAGAGTTGCTCCTAGCTCTTTATTTCTTTTATGTGGTGTTTATTTTTATGCTTTCAATTTATTCATTTGTACATGGTATTTGAGCATACGTTTGCATTGAATATTATCGCTTTCCATATTGGTTACCTGATGTGCTAGATTCTTTGTTTCCATGTGGGGTGGGTGTTACTATTGAGGTAAAAGACCCAGTGCCCAGGCTAGAATACACTATCTAGGAAACCTAGGAATAGAGTAAAGCATGACGGGTATTGGATGAAGGTACTACCAGCACGATCATGTCGTCTACGCTCAGATGAGGTTCAAATAGGGTGTTACAATTGGCTTACCCTGACCTAGTCTTTACCCGTGAGTGGGAAGGGAATAATCTTTACAGGTATAGATGGTGACTTTGATCTAATGGTGACTATTTGTTCTGATGGTGACCGTGCTCCGTTGGTCACTTGGCTTTCTGTGGTTTATGTTCCGAACTACTGATCTTGGTATTCTCGGCATATCCAGTGACAACACAAAAAAATTCCGATGTTGGAAACCTTTATTCCATGAGTAGTGCACTTGCATCATGGCATATTTAGTTTTTACAAAAGAAATGTATAAAAAATGTATGCATGCGGGTTCCTTGAAAATGATTTGAACATAGTATTGCATCCACCCACACACCTCTTGCATCTTCATGCGCTCATCATAGGTACTCAAAGTTGGGGAAGTTCTTATTCAGGCATGATATTATTTTCAGAACTGTGAATCTTGACTTATCACCGCTCCGCGATCCAAAAAAAGCCATGGAATAACTTCGTGGGGAATTGATGAGATGAAAGAACATATGGGTTGTGTATGATGGACATGCAAGCAATGGCCCGTGGTCAGAAATCCTTAATGGAGAAAAAGTAACCAGTTGGAGACTCAGTTGAGTTAGTATGGACGTTCTGAAGACAGTGTCAATAAAGGAAAGTGATCATATATATGCTATTGCAACAAAAGTTGTTACTCATCCCCATCCTATGGGATCTCTTTCAAATCATGAAATAATTTGGGGATCTCATCCAGAACTTTGTGTTCCTAGATTTCCTCATCAGCAACTAGTTTTTGGTTTCAGGGTGAATCCGTGGGGCAAAGCTTATTAGCAGAGACAGAAAAAGCTTGAGAAGCATGTTGATACAATATCAATTCCTTACATCCAGTTACTTCCTCATCTGTTGGAAATTCAATTGGTAAGGCTCTGTTTTTTGGGTCCTCCTCCTACAAACCTTTCTTTTGATTTCGATGCAAATGCTAGATGTGTCTCGCATTCTAGGGCACCTGGTTATGATATTTAAGACTGGGAGAGGTTGAAGTATAAAGTCTGGCACTTATCTGGCTTCTTTTTGAAAGACCAGTCTCTGTTTGGAAAACCATTTCAGACTCTTTCTCCTCAGCTGAGTGCTTCTTTTGTGTAGTAGAAGATGGGGTGATGCTTCTGTGATAAATAAATATAAGATATCTAATTCTTGTACATATGTTGTTGTGTAGAAGAAAAATATCTCAAAGGGCGAGTTCTATATTGAGAGTTTATTTTCTTTTGTGTAGTAGAAGATCCTTTGTTATTGTTTCTGGATTTTGCTTCTGTGTAGTACAAGACAAAGATTCTTTTTTGAAGTAGGATATTCCCCGGAATTCAGTTGCTAAAACTTCTCTTTTATGATGTAGGAGATGAAGTTTATTTTCTTCTATGTAGTAGAAGTTCCTTCGGTATAGTTTCTGAATTTTGCTTCTATGTAATAT